CCGCCTAAAACCCGCCTAAAACCCGCCTAAAACCCGCCTAAAACCCGCCTAAAACCCACAACTCGTCTACAGCCGGCCCAACCTGGCTCAGGAGGACGGCTATTTCGCGGCTCGTTACCACTCAGAAACGCTATCCCTGGAGCTGGAGGCCACCCTGGCGGCTCAGCTGTGCGGGCTCGTGGCCAAACACGAGAGGCAAGGGCTGGCGGGGTCGTACACGTCGGCGGCGGCAGCCGCCAGCGCGGCGGCGATGCTGGCGGCCGCTGGCGGCGGCGGCGGCGGCGGCAGCTTCGGCACCGCTTCGGCAGCGGCATCATGGTCGTCTGCGGAGTCGCTTTGGAAGCCAGGGTACAACGCGGGCATTGTGTACGGCGGTGTGCTAACGGTAGGTTTTGTGGGGGGGTAGGGTTTCGGAGAGGGTATGTGGAAGGGGGGAAGGGGTTTTGGGGAGACTTTCCCCACCTTCCTGAGTTGTTCCCGTCCTGCGCCTGCCCGTCAACATCCTTCCAACCCCTCCCTTCTCCTCTCTCCCATTTCCCTCATCCACGCTAGAGCTTTTGGGCTTTACACGCAACTCCTCCCCTCCCCCAAAACACACACAAACACACACACACACATCTCGTATTTCACATCTCGTATCTCACCCGCCTCCCACGCCACCCTCCGGGCTTCCCTCCACATACGCATGTACATACATACATACATGCACATGCACGCACAAGCTCAGGTGGGTCAACGCGGATTGCTCCAGGAGGGCGCTACCCTAAGCTCCGTCGGCGCCGCCGCCGCTGCCCTGCCCGCCCACCTCCGCGCCGCCGCGTCCTCCCTGGCGTCACTGCACCAGCTACGACATCACGTGGAGTTAGCAGATCTGCGGAAGGTGATTCTGCAGTACGGCGTTACGGAAATGGCCGTACTGCTGCGTGAGGAGGCGTACCGGTAAGTGTCGTACGCAGCTGGGCTTCACTCCCTCACAGCAACCAATAACAGGTTTTTTCATATGTTGGATATTAAAATATATATTAAAATATCTAATATATAAAAATTCTGGTCGCATGCCTGTCCCCGGGGGAGATCGTATCTCGTGTCGGTGAACGGGGCTAAGGAAGTACCAGGCAATTAAAAATTTCCCAATGGCCCATTCAGTTCATTCGAACCAGTGGTGTGCTTCCGCAAGAATAGGAAGTGGCTTTCAAGGGGGCTGGTCTTCGTGATCGCGTTTGAGGGGTTCGGGGTTCGCGTTTGGACCCCAGGTATGTAAACAATCTTTTTGGGCGAGGCCCCCCGGGGGCGCGAAGCGCCATTCGGGGGGCCGAGCCCCCCGGGTTCACTGCTGTCAGTCCGTCTGTCAGTCAGTCAGTGGCTTACATATCTCGCCCCGCAAAAAATAGCGTTTGAATGCTATATCCCTTCTATATCGAAATGCCAAAGGAGTTATTCCAGATAAATCGGAGCGCGACAAAGATAGCTTTCCATGGCTCCGAGTTTGGCGGAGGAGGGTGGGGCCCCCCAGGTCGGGCCGTTGCGAAGGCGGAGGTGCCAGCCCCCACAGCGGGCCATGTCGGCAGCCCCCATCAGGGGCCGAGCCCCTTTTCGGCTTTGGAAAGCCGGCCCCCTAGTCTCTCTCTGTCTCTGACGCCGTCCCGCTACTTATCCCTTTTTTTCTTCACCCAGCCCTTTCTACCTTTCTTCCTTTCTACCCAATCCATGCCCGACACGCACACGGTCACAAACACACACACACACATACACACACACGTCATCTCCCAAACCCCGTGCCACGTATTTGCCCCCTCTCATCATCACCGCCACAACCACCGCCAGTGCGCATGCGCCCGTGGAACGTCCTCCCAAAGATTCCATGTTCGATTCCACCCGAGGACGACGTGATCTTCACCCGGACGTACCTCTACTGCGGGGTAATTGGCTGGTGGCCTCCCATCTGGCGGACAATGTGGAGGTGATGAGGAGTACGGCAGTGGAAGTGGGGGCGGAACCCCGGGCGGCGTTGGAGGTGCGTGGCTATCGTATTTAATTTGGGCCGGTGTGTGTGTGTGTGTGTGTGTGTGTGTGTGTGTGTGTGTGACGAATGTTTTTTTTTTGTTTTTTATGGAAGGGAGGAAAGAATGCCATTTTTAGAATTATAATTTATTTTTTATATGGCTAGAAAACCCGCAAAACATAAATTACTATTTCAAGAAGTTGATCCCCACTGGTCTGCAGTTATGATTTTTGGAATGTAAGACGTCGGTGACCCTGCATATTTTCAAGTGTACAAGTTCCGCGGGAAAGGGGGGGGAGATGTCCGCCAAAGGCCGGCGTGCCCATGGACGATATATATTAATAGTAATGGGGTCTTGCTTTTGAAAAGGAAAAATTAATAACTGCTACTTTTCTCTAATTGTACGATAGCTGCTGAAACTGCTACCGCCTGACCCTCTGCTGCCCTACGCCTCACACTCCCACACACTCCCACACACGCACATGCATACATACATACATACGTACATACAGGTGTTCCTCAACAAGGAGACCCTCATCCGCAGTCTGTACCGCGGCGAGGTGCTGTGGCTTGTGTATGTCGTACAAGCCAGAGCGCTGGGGAGGCGGGTACGCCGCGGGAGTGGTGAAATACGCAAAGGGGGGCCCCGAGGGGGGAAGTCACGCTTGGGGGGTTTGCTGTCCTAGGGGGGGGTGCGTGTGGAACTCAATGTAGAAGTATGGGGGATGGGTCGTGGCAGGAGGTGGTGGTGGTGGTGGGGAGACGAACCACGTGAGCGAGTGAAGGTGTGATGCCAAGGAAAGACTGATGCGCCAGAAGTAAAGGCGGCATAACTATGGTGGGGTTGGGGTTTCTAGGGTTTTAGGGTTTTGGTTTGTATGATTC